TATTATGCTCGAATTGATGATATTCCTTCAGAGTTCAGAATATATGTTGTTCTATTATAGTATTATGCTCGAATTGCATGTTTTCTTTTTGATAGATTGATTGTTTTTCATAGATTTGCATAAAAATTGTTGGTTATTGAGTGAGTTCTTTTTTCTGTTTTAAATCAGATTATCAGAATGTCCACAAATATGGATAATGTTGAAGGGAATGTCCCTATTGAGGAGCATGAATCTGACAATGAAAAATCCAAACCCAAGAGGAAGAGAATGAAGGATCGTTCCGAGGTTTGGGAGCACTTTATCAAGGAAGAAACACACACTGGAATGGAAGCACGTTGCAAGTACTGTGGTATGAGATACAAGTGTGGTACAAAGAGAAATGGCACTAGTCCATTGTGGGCTCATATAAATAGATGTCGTAAGTACCCCTATAATACTCCTAAAGAATCAAAACAAAGTTTGTTGTCTTTCAAAAGCAATAAAATTGAAAGTGGTTGTACTAGTGGATTGTCTTATGTGAAATATGATCCAACTGTAATTAGAAAAGCTTTATCTGAGATGGTTATAGTTGATGAATTGCCTTTTAAGTTTGTTGAGGGAGTAGGCTTTAAAAAATTTTGTAATGTAATGGAGCCTAGATTTCATGTCCCTTCCAGAATTACTGTGGCTAAAGATTGTTATGAAACTTTTTTAACTCAAAAAAGAAAGCTGAAATTGGTATTAAAAAATTGTAACTCAAGGGTTTCATTAACAACCGATACATGGACATCTATTCAGCAAATTAATTACATGTGCTTGACTGTTCACTTTGTTGATAATGACTGGAATTTGCAAAAACGTATTCTGAATTTTTGTCCTATATCAAGTCATAAGGGGGAGGAAATTGGGAAAGAAATTGAGAAATGTTTGCTTGATTGGGAACTTGAGAAAGTATTTTGCATAACTGTTGATAATGCTAGCTCAAATGATACCGCAATAGGATATATGAGAAGGAAAATAAATGGTTGGAAAGCTGGGGTTCTTAAGGGTCGGTTCCTTCATATGCGTTGTGTTGCTCATATTGTGAATTTGGTTGTGTCTGATGGCTTGAAAATTGTTAATGAGTCTATTACTCGTGTGAGACAAGCTGTAAGATTCATCAAACAATCCCCTTCTAGGTTGGTAAGGTTTAAAAAATGTGTTGTGGAAGAAAAAATCAACTCTAAAAAGTTGTTGTGCCTTGATGTGCCTACTAGGTGGAATTCCACCTTTTTAATGTTGGATGCTGCTTTGGTGTTTGAGTATGCTTTTGAGAGGTACTCTGAGGAGGACCCTCATTATGTGATTGAGTTAAATGAGAGGGAGGGGAAGGGCTGCCCTACTTCTGAGGATTGGGAAACAGTCAGAAGGTTTTCTGAATTTTTACAAGTCTTTTATGATCTTACGTTGCGTGTCTCTGGGTCTTTGCATGTGACTTCCAATTTATTTTTCCATGAATTGGTGAGTGTTGCTGTCCTTTTGAAAGATTTGATGACAAATGATGATGTGGAGATGTGTCTTATGGCTACTAAAATGAAGGAGAAATATGACAAATATTGGGGTGATCCGGAGAAAATAAACATGCTGATTTTTATTGCTGTTGTGCTTGATCCTCGTTATAAGTTAGATTATGTTGAGTGGATGTTAATTGAAATTTATGATTCTAAGCATGCATTTGTTTTGGTGAATAATTTGAAAGAGTCTTTGAATGCATTGTATGAGGAGTATCGTGGTTCTTCTGGTGATGTGATTAGGGAGGAAGTGTCCTCAAGTATGGACAGTTCCCAATTTTCTCCCAAACAAAAGAAGCTTCAGGTATTGAAAAGTAAGTATAAGAAACATAAGTGTGAGAAAGATGGAGAAGCAAAAATTGAGTTAGACAAATATTTAGAAGAGGAAACGGAGGAGGAATGTGAAAATTTTGATATTTTGGGGTGGTGGAAGTTTAATAGTGCTAGGTTTCCAACAATTGGAAGAATGGCCCGTGATATACTTGCTGTCTCTATCTCAACAGTAGCCTCTGAGAGTGCATTCAGCACTGGTGGTAGGGTTCTAGACCCATTTAGGAGCTCCTTAACTCCAAGGGTCGTTGAAGGACTTGTTTGTGCTCAAAATTGGCTACGTTCTTCTCCCTTTCCTAATATAGAAGAGTGTTTACAAGAAGTTGAAGATCTTGAAGAAGGTAACATAAAACAACAATTATCATGTTATTTTTTTTCATTATTTCATATATATTATGTAACTTGTTTATTTTTTTTTAATGTTATTAGACTTGAGGAATATGACAATTGGTGGTCAAAACCCGGACTTGGTTGAGCTTGATTGAGAGTTAGCTTCCAAGAATGAAGCTGCCCTATTGATTGAAGACTTGAAGTTTCTGCCAAGAGCCTAAGAATGAAGCTGCCCTGTTGGTTGAACTAGTTCATTTGTGGACTGTTTGTCTGTTTTATTATCAATTCATCATGTGGACTGTTTTGATAGTTTTAAGACTTGTTAAGTTCTTATGTCTCAATGTGGACAATGTGTAAGTGTATTTAATTACTATGGTCTATGGCAGTATGGCTGGACAATTTAGTTACTATGGCAGTATGGCATATGGTTGTGACTTGTGAAAGTTGTATGTTAAAATTTATGCTTTAATTTTGTTCAGGAACAGGTACAAAATTTAGGCCTTAAAAGGCCCAAAATTATATGCCCAATAAAAGCCCAGATTTTAAGGCCTAATACAGCAGCCCATAAAAATTCGGTTTGGATTGGATTTAATTCTCAAAACCGAATTATTTCGGTTTGGATTGGATTTAATTCTCAAAACCGAATTATTTCGGTTTGGATTGGATTGGATTGAATCCAAATTCGGTTTGGATTCGGTTTCAAAAATCCGAAACCGAAATAATTCGGTTTGGATTCGGTTTGGGGTGTAATCCAAACCGAATACCGAACTTTCACCCCTAACTATAATTATGGAATTGTAGATATGCAAGGTTGTTGTTGGTTGCAATGTTAGGCAGCGGATGGTGGTGTTTTCCGAGCACAATAGCTGAAATATATGTAGCAAAAGCTCTGTATTTTATGTAGTATTTTTTTTACCAAAAAAAAGCTCTGTATTTTATATAGTATTTTATTTACCAAAAGCTCTGTATTTTATATAGTATTTTATTTACCAAAAGCTCTGCAAAAGCTCTGTATTTTTTTTTTATATAGTATTTTATTTACCAAAAAAAAGCTCTGTATTTTATGTGAATAACACGGAGAATCCGAAGAGCATCTTCAATGGAGTTTCAAAAGCTCAAAGGCTACTTCAATGGAGGAAGTTGACACCCTTACCCTTTGGGGTTAATTTTGCCCTTTTTTCTCCCCTTTATATATCTTAGGATTTTCGCTTAAATTCGGCGGCAAAGCCGCCGGAAATGGTGGTGTTGGTGGGAGATGGGTGACTGGGTGAGGATGAAAGCTCGAGCTTCTTTTAATGGAGCTTGATGTGAGAAAAGGAGGAAGAAGAAGAATAGCATGTTAATTACAAATGGTGACCAATTGTTGCAAGGTGTGAATTAACAGAATGCTTCACATTTCTGAGTGAAAATCACAGTCAGCAAATAAAATAGTATAAAATGCTTTTCCCAATACAAATAATAACGAAAATGCCACTAGAGATCCAGTCTATGTTTCTCAAGAAAAGAAACTAGGGCTTGCCCGTGAAAAAATAGGTGTTTGGCTTGAGAAAGTTGTTGCAAAACTATTATCAACGGTCAAACCCAATTCATAACCATTGTTCTCTTCGTCTCTATTTATCCTAATGTATGATAATCAAATAGTTTTTTTTTTTCTTTTTTTTTTTCTAATATGTAATTAAAGACATTAAAATTAAAAAAAAAATGATATAAGATCAATAATTTATAACTTACTCAAGACTCCTTTCGTCTCACTATATATACTTCTCCCATTATGAAAATTTCAAGGGAATTATGAAATTTAAAACATGTATTATTTGCAATTATCAAGTCACATTTGTAATTTCTTTTATGAAGTATTAAAAATGTATAATTCAATGTTGGGAAAAGATAAAACAGTAAATGTTTTTGCTGCATTAACTCGTCATTTTTACATTAAAAATGCACACACAAAAAAGGAGGGGGAGTATATCTATTTGAATATTATAATAAGAAATGAGATGATCGTTTTGGTACATTTGAAAAGAAATTTGGGAAACTGTAGTGTGAGTGAGAAAAGAAAATGAAAATAGTATTTTAGGACAAAGAACAGAAAATGAGAAAAATTAAGATGGAATACTACTCCGTATATAGGAAGAATGAAGGTAAATAACTAGTTATTTTGTAGTCTAACTAATGGTAAAAGTAATGTAGTTAAATATCACCCGAGTAAAGAAAGATGTTTCGTACATATATAAGTTGTAAACAAAAATAGAGTATGTGAATTAGACAGCGTAAGAATGTAACAAAAATAGAGTACGAACCACATATTAGAGTGAGGGATAATTTAAGTGGTTAGAGATTATCTCCGTCTTCCTAGAGATATTTCTGCCCCTTCTGGCTCTCTAAACACGAAAAACAAGCATCACTACCCTCGCTATAGCAACTTGAAGTATCACTATCGTCATTATCGTGTTTGCCATGCATAATTATTACAAGCTAAGAAATACATGCAATAATTATTGTGCATAAATCGTTGCTAAAAAAACGATTTAAAAAATAAAACTGTGTTGATTAAAAAACAACTGATGAAGTCATGTTACGGAGTAATCAAAATAATGATAATGGTAAAAATACGGCTTGTATTATGCTAAAAAATAGGATAGGATGATAGTTTTTTTTTTCCTAAAAAAACTAAAATAAAAAGGGTTAATTTGAAAAAGTGAAATTTATCACCGAAAACATGTATAGATTATGTGGGTTAAAATTAAGATTTGAGTGTTGGAATATAGGTTAATACGAGTAATGATTATTATTGTATGAACAGTGATGTAGTTGGGGTCATTAGTGTGTAGCAACCGACGCAGTAGTAGACTAGTAGTAGTTGGAACTTGAAAGTGAAGAGTAGTCCTTAGTCCGTGGAAGTGGGGATTGATAGATAGATAGATAGATAGATTGATTGATTGGATTTGAAGTCTGAAGGCAAAGTTGTAAGGGTTTGGTTGGGTTCATCTTACATGATTGAGTAAGTAGCTGCTTATTTATATCTTAGCTTCTCTTAGTGTTTGGTTGGTGATTACTGATTTAGGTAAGCCGGAAAGAATGGCGTCGGGCAGATACATGTCATATTCTCCGTCACCGTCAACAACTCCTCACTCTCCTCACATCGCTGGTCTTCGCTCTGCCTCCTCCACTCTCGCTGATCAAGAGAAGTATTTTCTCTCTCTCTCTCTTTAGATCCATACACTCTAATCTTACTTCTGCTACTGCTTTTTTTTTTTTTTTTTTTTTTTGTCAGATCTCCAATTAACTCATTTCATTTTATCAATTAGATTCATTTAACAGATCTCTCATTTCAATTGATTTTATTTTTTATTTTTTATTATTAGACTAAAATTACTACTGTATTCATCAACTCATCACTTCTTTACTTACTATAACATCAATTAAATTATATGTAATCCTGATCTGTCAAAATTTTCATTTAATTTGCTTGTTTTCGGATGCTATTATATGTGTCAATTACGATGATTTTAACTCATCGGACTTATATTTATGTGGACAGATACCTTTCAGAGTTGTTGGCTGAACGTCAGAAAATCGGTCCTTTTTTGCCCGTGCTTCCCTACTGTTACCGTTTATTGAATCAGGGTGAGTTTGTTTGTTTGTTTGTTTTTTTTTTTTTTTTTTTTTTTTTTTTTTGGCATTACTGGTCAACCACCTCATTAATCAACTCATAATTTAAGCCAAATGCACCCTCCTACAACTGTTGCTCCAATTATCTTGCTTGTGAACCTATCTTTTCTGTTGTTTCTTCCCATTGGTGTCTTTGATGTCTAATTTCTATTAAACCATTAGTATTATTCGTAATATTTCAGATTCGTACCTTCAAAATGTCATCGTTAATAAACCTTAACTATTACCGTAAGTTCCTAACTTAATCATGTGAAGCTAATCCCATGGAAAGGAGAAAAATTATAACTAATTTAATGTGTTGACAAGCTTGATTAATTACATTGTGTAGGAGACCTTGATCTTAATTGCTAGTTGCTTTGCTTTCTTAATAGCATTTAAACCTGAATAATTCATATTTGGCAAAATGTCTGGTAGATGATGATGGAGGGGTAATATAATCCACTCCTAAACACTATATATGAAACAAGGAGAGTTTTCCATGTAACATGCATCTAGAGGCTGTGTTTTGCTGTGTCCAGAGAGTGGAATATAGTATAGAGGTCTGGCTGAGGGAAACCGATAGACTCATCAAGGATCATTGTGATAAGTATTTATTGAGATGACACGGACTCAAATTTCCTAATATTCCCTAACGTGTCAGTGATGCCGTGATTAACTTCACTCTCACTCTTTTTTCTCTCCCTCTTTCTTGTTGGGTAAAACTTATCCTCCACTCATTCTGTCTCATATATTAAAAGTCCTGAGGTGAGAGTCCTACTTATCTTTCTATAGCATACTTTCTAGAGCATGACCTTCATCATAATAGCGAATCCATGTGACAATTTGTTGTTGCTTCTCTTTTTATGGTATGCTATTTTTAAGCAAAATATCCTTCTCAATCTGCTTTCATAATGTGTGTGAGTATGGGACAGGCAGAGTGTTTGATATGATCTATTTTGACATTTATCTTACGAGAAGAAAGGCTGAAATTCCTTTTCAGATCATTGTCCTGGTGTCTATGATGAGCGTCCCTAATTAGGGTCTTGCACACAATAGACTAGGATGGTACTTTGTGCAGAAAGTTTTCAACCGTTGATTCAGAAACACATGGATATTCATGCCATTTTATGACAAATAAGTGTTATAGGACATTATAATGAGGCATTTGATTAAGTCTACCATTACTCTACTATGACAGCAAAGTTAATATTTCTCGATTTTGTCTATTTCTGCTTTCTTGAAAATTTACATCAGATGCTTTTGTCAATTGTTAGCGTACTTCATTGTTTTTTTTACTTAGTGGCACTAGGCAATCATATCTAATACTATGGCATTATACTTGTTTTTTAAATATCTTAATCTAACAAATTTTTGAATACTTGTTGTTTCAAAATATAGCCTTTCAAACCTTCATGGACAGTCTCTTTAGCAATTGTTGCTGGCATTTTTTTCTAGTGATATGCTTTGTCATGCCATCCATGGTTGAGATCACTTTCAGTTTGTTGTTAAGGGTGTATCAGTCTTTGGTGGATGCTTGTACAGGGTAGGATGTGTCTTTATTTTAGCAATTTTTACCGGAAAATTTGACTGATATTGGTGCTTAAGACTTCAGGAGGTTTCGTATACTTGTTTAAGTTCATTTTAAAAAAAAATTAATTAGCAATATGAGAGGTTATCATGCGCCTGTACGTAAATTTTTGCTGACAAAAACACAAGGGTGGTTATTTTCATCTGACCTTATTGTTGATCTCTTGGGCATCTTGGATATGCTGTGGACGGATGTGGTTAAGATATACATATATGTTCGTGGAGAATATTCTTATGGAATATGTGCCCATTGAATCTCTATAATGAGATTATTTGGAATAACCTCTTGTGTCAGTCATTCAAGAACTTATCCATTTGTATTATTTATTTACTCATTTCAATGCTTAATTTACTTTGAGCGAGTTTGGGAAAAGGGCTGCTTGTGATGTGGGACATTAGAAGCTTTGCCCAATGATTAATTTTATGTAGATGATTCGTTTATATTTACTTTTTTGCCTTTTATTCTGTTACTAAAGTTGTCTTTTCACTCTCCCCCTCCCCCTCATTTGTGTGTGGCCGGGGGTGGTGAAGGTGTCTGATAGCTGAACTAACTCGGCAAACTGTATTGTGTTTGTGGTGAATTGCCTACTAATATATAACAAATGCTAACTAGTACATCTGTTATTGAAAATTGACATTGAGCAGAAATATTGCGTGTAACTACACTGTTGGGGAATGCTTCAATATTAGATCAATCTGGGCTTGAACATGCTAGGCCTCTGCCTTCTGGAGGAATATATTCAAATGGAGGAGCAGATATGAATGGATGGGCATCACCTTTCCAATCAGAAGTACGGATTACTGACCATTAACACGACCTTTAGTTTTCGTCAAATTTTACTGTTTAAAAATTTTTACTGACTCAATTGTTGTATCTTAGTGCTAACAATTTGTTGATAGCGTATCCACTCTTCTCATGACAGGCAGTGATGAAGCTAACAATGTTATGGAATAATATTAGGTGTAGGTTGGACTGCTGCTGTGAAGAGGGATAATTCTTTTTATTTTAACCCAAGGCATACTAATCATTATCCTTGATTTTATAAATCAATCTGCCCATGCAATACTAAAATTCCAGCCATTTAAAATATTATTTGAAGAGGTGTCAGAAAAAAGACTTCCAGACTCTATACTTTAGGATCCCTCCCTTCAGTACCTTTTTGTGGGATTAGTTCTTCTAAACATGGCCTTGACTTCAGAATCAGGTTCTGCTATGAGCATTCTGGTGGTTTCTGAAAATATTGTGGACCTGTACCAGCACTGTTCAAGAATAAATGTGGTCATCAGGTCATGTGGGGAGTCTGATACTATGTTGACTTGTTATTTTCCTAAATAGATATTCCCAAATCTCCGTGGACCCTTTGTTAGATATCGGGAACATGATTCCTTTTTTTTGTTGTGCGATTTCATTTACAAATGTTAGCTTTCTTTGCAGATGTCTGGTCTTTTACACCAGTCTTCAGCTCAGAACTGGCTTGGTTCTCATGGTAACTCGTCAGGCCTTATCGTGAAGAGGACTATCAGGGTGGACATTCCTGTTGACAACTATCCCAATGTATGAAGTTGGTGTGGTTCTTATATAATTTGATTACGTGGTCTTGATTAGTGAATGATATTTCTTATACAACACAATCTCATTGTACCTTTTTTAATCGCTGTAGCAGTACAACTTTGTCGGGCGACTGCTTGGCCCGAGAGGAAACTCTCTCAAGCGTGTTGAAGCTACTACTGATTGTCGTGTTCTTATCAGAGGACGTGGCAGCATCAAGGATCCGGCAAAGGTAATCATTATTGTTCCTGTACTGTTGTCATATATGATTTTGTTTATTTACCTTCATGCTGCTGCAACTCATTTCTGTGCACTTGGTGTCTCCAAGGAAGTTATTAATTTGTGTGGAATGTTTACATATAAGGTTTTAAGTTCATAAATTTGGAAAATGTTTGTACAATTGTGCTGATTGTGTGTGTAACATGGTTTTACTGGGATGTTGAACACTAGAATAGATGTTGCTTCATCGCCTTTTAAAATGAATAGATGTTTTGGCACAAGTGCCCAAACCCATTTTTGAAAGATATGTTTATAGGAAAGTTCTTTCTGGGAACACGGAACAATTGCAATTATGGAGGTTGCTACGTTTACATAATCATCAATCAAGTACCATTGTGTTGTTAGGGAGAAGTAGAAAAACTGAGATTCTTTTCATCAATTGTTAGATTTTCTATTGTAATGCTATAATTCATCGAATGTTAGATTTGCTAAATTTGCTTTCAATCTGGCTTGGATTTGTGATTAACCACACTTTAGATTGATGATTTGGCAGATCTAAAACCAAAATTTGCTCATTGCCCTTAGCAGATTTTTGCACCCCTGGGACTATCCAAATTTGTCACATGTAACTATTATTTTCTTGTATGCTATGTAAATGTGAATGATATGCACTGTCTGTCTGTCTTAATTAGTCCCTCCGTCCCAAAGTATAGTTCCCGTTTGTAGTATTTCACAAGAATTAAGGAATGGGAGGATTCAGTGTGTGATGTACTTGAAACTTTACTATTAGTACAATAAAACAAGTGTGCAATTAATGCACCTTTTGGAGTTTTCTGTTAAATTTTTTGGTTGCGTTTTGTGTTTATTTATTTAGGCAAAACCCTTCCTTTTTCTTCCAGTTACTGTCGCTGCCCCCAGGCCCCACCTACCACTAATGCCTGGAACCGCCACCAACACCCACGCGGCTCTCACAGCCACCTAAAACCACCACTACTTCCCTCGCCTTCCTCTGCTTAAACAAAAAGCCCTTAAATCAATCAAATAATCCTCTCAAACTAAATCAAAAATAGCTTTTGGAATTTTCCCTTTTTTTTTTTTATTTTTTTTTATTTTTTTTTACTTTTTACTCCATTTTCTTCTTCCTTCATACATACATATACATAGCAAGATCAAATATACATATACAAGCCCAAGAAATCTGCTGCCTCCCGTCAACCACAAATTAGCTTTGAAAGTGTCTTTTTAAGAAATTTTTTGAGGGCTTTAATTTGCATGAGTGCTTTATACACCAATCTACAATTTATAGGTGAGAATACTCTTTCAAATTCAAGGATCTGATATTCTGATGAGAGAAAGGAGTCAACGTTAGGGTACTTGGTGAAAAATGGGAGATTACAGGAGGAGAGAGAAAATGAAATGAAAAAGGAGAAGTTCCCAAGTAAATGAAGTCGGAAAACGTTGGGAGTAAAAGGATGCGTGGGAAAATCCCAATAAAAAAATCAATATAGGGGAAAAAAATAGTAGAAAAAAGGATTAAAGTGTATTGGAATTGAAAAAAGTGAGGGTATTTAAGGAAATGGTAGGAGAAAGAAATTTTAGCCACCGCAATCCTAATAATGGAAACTGAAGCCACGAAATCACACTCTCAAATAACTTTTAAACAACTAATAAGGGTACATTTTAGTATTGATAAGGAATTAAAGGGCACAACTTAGAAACTTGAAAAAGTATAGGTACACCTTAGAAACTCGAATACCTTAGGGGTATAGCTTAGAAAAACCCAAATTTTTATTCAAGCAAATAAAATGTCATCCATTTTCCCCAAAACAACCCATGGTCATTTTTGTGCATTTAAAGTCATTTCACTGTAGATTTAGTCAAGCTGTACCGAGCATTTGAAAATAATTCTTTAAGGGGGTCGCTTTCAATGAAATGAAAATTTTGCATAACTTATAATTGATGTAATTATTTCTCACAAATTTGCAGTTTATGGATGGTGAAATTAGTCTGTGTATCCTTGTAAATTTCTGAAAGTATTGCGTGTATTAAAAGTGTTTTAAGATCAATTACTTTTTTGAGAATTTACTGCTTGATATATCTGTATTTTAGTTTGTATAGAAATACTAACACAACAATTCTTGCATCATCTTTTTTATCAAAGGAGGATATGATGCGGGGAAAACCAGGGTATGAACATCTTAATGAACCCCTTCACATACTTGTAGAGGCAGAATTGCCTGTAGAAATAATTGATGCCCGCCTGATGCAAGCACGTGAGATACTTGAGGATCTGCTCAAGCCTGTGGTATGTTATTCTAGGGGCTACAGAAACTTAGCAGAACCTTGTGTTTTGTTATGCTTATATTTTTTGGACCTTAAATGATTTTCTAACAATCTCATCTTTCTTAATCAGGATGAGTCTCAAGACTTCTTCAAAAAACAGCAGTTGCGAGAGTTAGCTATGCTAAACGGTACACTTCGTGAAGATGGTTCTCACATGTCTGGTTCTGTATCTCCCTTTCACAACAGCCTAGGGATGAAGAGGGCCAAGACTCGGGGGTGATAAATTATGGTGGGGTTCTGGAGAATTATTTGCTATGAAGGGTAAACTGGACATTCCCATGCTACCGGTGCTGATGTACCTGCCACAGTGCTTCTGAAGTCCCAACTGCCATCGGGGCACTGGTGCAATTAGTGTGCCAGTTCTATTTTTAATGTAATGGTAAATCAAGCATGTTTAGCATATAGTCTGGGTGGTTGAGGTCATAATAGCTTATATTCTGGAATGACCAGTTGAGTTTAGATGGCTTGCGTTTGTATGCTTCTTTAGGCTAGTTAGAAATCTGCCTTTCAGTCATGTATTATGGAGATTTTTTTTTTTTTTTTTAATTTATTTTTTATATTTTTTTACTGATATTGTGAAAGTTTTGGTAGGTTAATGGTAGCTATCATTATATGGTGTGCTTACAGTGGAGAGCAGAAGCACTACCCATATAGATGGGTTTGAATGTCTAGTAGCAGTTGTAGACTTGAATGGATTGATTTATGAAAAAATTTCAAGTTTGATAATAGATTTGGGATCTTACCTGTTGTATATTTTTTTGCCCTAATATGTCTTTGAACTCGTTTTGAAGCTAGGGTTGTGAATTGTTATGAGGGAACCAGGTCTAAAATGGGAATGATAATGAATAAAGCAGAAGCATACATGGGAACGATATTTACCGAAATAATAATTAAAACTAAAAGAAGCATTCTTGGTAGGTTTTGGAGGCATTGAAAATTCTGCGGTATAAGTAGTTGTGCTGTTTCCAATACTCCGTAGTACCTTCATGGCTTTATAACCACAGGGACAGGGGTAGAGATTTTGCCTCCTGCTCCTTTGGCTTTGCTGCTCTCCAACTTGTAATTTATCCCATACTTTATGCTTGCAGAAATTACAGAACATGAAATTCAAAAGTTCAAAACCAAGTATATTCAGATAGTACATGCTCTACACTTATTTAAGCCATACCGTTACAAACAAGTGGGCTATGTACAATGTGACAACAACCGTGTGCTGTTGAAAAAAGAAAAAACACTTCCAACATTCTGTCAAAACAAGAGTCTGGGTGCAAATACCATCCACCTAACCAGCTTAACTAATTGCTGTTGAAGGTAGTACATAAGATGGAAAATTCTAAGGAAGATCTGAGAAAGCATTAATTAAGCTTCTGCTTCATCCTCGTCTACTTCATCCTCATCTTCAGCTTCATCAATACCAACCCAACGGGTGAAAGCAAATAGAAATTCCTTGAAGTTAACCATTCCATTTCTATCCCAGTCCATCTCTTCTGCAGTAGCACAGCAACACACGTTAGGAATTACTAATGCAGAGTAAGCTTCTATCTAAACATGCAAGACTCTTTTACTTGTAGCTGCACAACACAAAGTGTTGATAGAAGCCCCACTAATTCAATAAACATCAATGCCACAAACACAGTCTCCTGTTTAACATCTCTCACCAACCAAGATAAACTTAGTCCTTGCAGAGGCTGATCACCTGTACGGATCTAGGAGAGATGGTATTAGAGACCCAATTCGGGTAACCTAAGGTGCTAGAGGCACTTGATCCCCACTGCTGGATGCCTAATGAAATTCAGTCAAGCATTGCGTCCTTGTTCGGTTGTTCCCATATCAGGTGTAAACAAGTATTAAGAAACTATATCGCACTTAAGCAAATTGCAATTTTAACAGATAATCTGGAAGGGAAGAGGAGAAATAGGTAATGATGATATTATGTCTGTAAATTGGAAAACACATAAAAGCAAAATGTTTTGGAGGAGAGAGTATTACATAATACTTGTAGAAGATACTAAACTAATGATGCACAGTAAGAGTAAAGAGAAGGGAGGTGAGGATGCTGACCAAATCTTTTCATGGCGATTCGTCCCGAAGAACGTTCTCCGGAGGTGGTTTCATTAATAGCCTGAATCATCTCAGTCTTGCTGACATAGCCATCCTTATTTTTGTCCAAGAAGGCAAAAGTATCAACAAGGGTCTCAAATGTGGACTCCAGATTGGGCAAACCCATACGAGATTTCTAAGGGATGCATTGTTAAGGCGAAATCAATTAGTCAGTCAAACATTCATTCATAGAAACATATTCTAACGAGTAGTATACAACAAGTAAGAAGCAAGTTTAGAAGGATACAAGTTGATTCTTAGAAGAATCCTCCTGAAGAAGGTAGACAAGACAGAGAAGGACGATAAATTCATTGAATTTGATGCCCATGTCCTCATTTATATCACATGCCTTGAAGAAATCATCAATCTCTTCCTCGCTGAAACTAACTTCTAATTTCCGGAAGCAAGCTTTTAGCTCACTGTGATCGATCACATCGTTATTATCCACATCTTTTGATTCCGAGTTCATCCCATCACATTGAACAAGCAACCAGGTCAGATCTATCTAGGAACCAACACTATCTAAAAACACGACATCAGAACAAAGATATTAAATTAAAAAAAAAAAAAAAACAGGGGAAAATGAATGGAAAGATACCAAATTTTTGAAAGGTAGCCTTGCATTTTCTAAAGCTTTGATCGATTTTAGGAAACTTGAGAATAATGGTGTTGAAGGATTTCATGGCAGTTCCTTTAGAAGCTCTCTTTTGCATAGCTTCAACCATCTTAGCTTCTAATTTGGTTTCTGGAAAATAACTTGATTTTGGTGATTCTGCAACCACACCCAGCGCACCTCCCATATTCACCTGATTATAAAACATCAACATCGGATCATCAGTTTCAGAAACATCCATCTCTTCATTCACTTCTTCTAAATGTTTACCTGATTAACAACGGATTAAACGCGAATAGTTGAATTTCCAGGAACACACAATAACTCCTAAAAGATCGGAACTTTTCAATGGCAAAAATAAATTTTTGGGGGACTCTCTCTAGTCATGAACAAAAAAAGCTAATTAATTAATTAACTAATTAATGTTTTGTTAAGGGGTTTGGACAGATGGAAATAACAAAGGATTACGATGGGGTTTTCACTTTTGATTTTCATGGAAATAACAAGTCCCATCTCATTAACTTATTTGATCATTTAAGCCGGGGTTTGTGCTACACCCACCACCTATTGTCTGTTTTTATTTTATTTTATTTTATTTTTTGGAATAAGTTTAAGCCTTATTATTATTGAAGATAAAGTAATGAAAAGGTTGCTAAGTAGCCTAGTATACCACAAATCACGATAAGCTTGAAACCCCTTTTACAGTAAAATTTATTACATACATCCGGGTGCATTGTACTTTATACACCCTACGTCCCTACTAACTCAAGGTTAATATTTACCGTTTATTTGATGATTAAATGAAAAACAATTAATGTATACAATTAACAAGTACCGCAATCATAATCCGTATGTTAAAGTGTACTTGGTATTATATTAGTAAGTCCCGGGTGTTTTGGTAAAGTGTCGGACATGAGGTAACTGTCGTGTCGGTAGCAATGTAGGTGAAGCCTGAAAGTGATACTCGTACCGTCGTACGTATCTTTGAGATTTCCTTTTAAATTTTAATAATAAAAAAATGGAAAAAAGGAACTGTAAGACATGTAATGAAACAAGAAAAGATGGAAAGGGGAGATGACAAACAACAAAAGTCTAAAACCCAAGGTAAATTTGGAGAGAGATTTTAGGTGCATTTATTCGTTTTCCAGATATTGGCACCTCCTCGTCCTCTTTCTAGCTAGCTAGCTAGGGTTCCGATCAGGTATGTGTATTTGTGTGAATTAATTCGATTGTGATTTCGATTTCCATTCCTATTCTTGTATTATTATTATTATTATTGTTATTGTTATCGTATACAAATGCTAGTGGTTGAGATTCAAAATTGAATGCAATGTGTGATGCATTATCATCTGTTTAAATCATCAAACTATAGGGTAATTGGAGTTCATTGAATGGAATCGAATCAACCCATGTCAGGTATTCCATTTCATCTGTGTGGAGTGTGAATTTGAAATAAACAAACCATGAGATGTGCAAATTAATTTAATGAATGTTGATTTCATTTGGAAGGGCTTGAGGATGGACCCTCAAATCAGACTCAAAATCATATTCATAATCATAGAGATAAATGAGGGAAAAGGAATATTAATCTGAGGCTACCTTCCTCCTTTTCAATCGAGGATATACGGGATCCCAAACAGGAATCTTCTGTCTTCACATTGAGTCAAACCCTAATTCCCCGCAACTTATTGCCCACAACCCTTGATCACTACCATACTTTGCTCAGGTTCTTGAAGGCTAGAGACTTTGATATTCACAACACAATACTCATGTGGGAGGGAATGCTTTGTTGGAGAAAATAATTTGGAACCGACACCATTTTAGAGGTATCAATCATCTGCACTTTCCCTTTCTACATCTAAATTTTGTTGCTGACTCACTTATGAATATGTGTGTGGTAGGGTATACAAGCTGCACTAACTGAATTATGGCCTAAATCTGGTAGAAGATATTGCTGCAAACATCTTGTCAAGAACTTCAAGGGGGAATTCCCAGGATTACTAATATTCTCACTCTTTTGGAAGGCAGCTGGGGCTTACAACCCTTTTACTTTCAGAAAAGCAACGGACGGAAGATCTCCAGAAGGCTAATCCCTTGGCATTAGTTTGGTTGTCAAAAGTGGGACCCCAGTCAACATGGTCAAAACATGCTTTCAACCCTAACATAAAGTGTGATGTGAATAAGTCAAATTTTGTAAAGAGCTTTAATGCTACTCTAGGAATCAACGGATGCAGACTTGTTCTGATTTTACTTGAAGGTAGCCTTATGCTTATATGCTTATGCTTATGCTAAAGTTGCATTACCATACTTAGGAGCAAGAACTGAATTTGTTTACATTTTAATGCAGGGATCAAAAGACTAACTTAGTCAGACTGGCCACTAGAAGGGAGCAGTGTGAGAGTTGGAATGATGATATTTGTCCAAATATCATTAGAAGACTGCAAGTGCTTAGTCATGAGTCTAGGACTTGTAGGTGTTTGAAGGTTGGAGCTGGAGAGTATGAAGTGTTAGATGGTAAATCAGTGTTGCCTGTCAACTTAAATGACAAAACTTGTGCATGTAATGTGTGGCAGCTGTCTGGATTGCCAAGCAAAATAATCGCAGCCCCTACACTTGAAAAATAGCATTCGTGGGTGTTTTATTGTTTCATATACTTTCACCGCAGCGATTTTTGGAGGAGAACAATTGCAGGTCACAAACTTCACCCACTCAAGCTTGTCGTCCATGGTGATAGCCTTCATTGATACAGAGGATGAACCCGATTTTGCCATAAACCCTAATCTGGAGAATGAAGAACCCTAGAATATGAAGAAATTGAGTAATGGAAGAGGAATTGGGGGTTTTATAAATGGAGAACGAAAACCAGAAAAAAAGGGGAGGGAAATAATTGTAAGGGTAAATAAGTCAATTCATTGTTATTAAGCCATGGTTAATAATTTAATGATATTTTTTTAAACACAAGTTACCAAAGTAATCATATTAATGTTTGGTTACTGTAGACACCCATTTGTGTCTCCCCAAAACCAAACCCAGTGATGAGTACCTTTCACGTCGAATCATAATCGAATGAAACGAAAGTGTGGAAAGGTCTAGTGTTGCGGAAAGTTTTATTTTATTTTATTTTCTTTTCTCTTCTCTCTGTTTTTGAAAACTTTATTTTAAGAAAACAGCCAATCCAGTTTGGTTGGTCCATGATATGGGTACAATAGTGGTGTAGTTGGATGGGGCTTGCAAAGACCTTTCCAACGATATATTATAAGCTCAATTCCGATGAATATTGAGGAAGTTATGGCCAATTTACTAAACTGGGCCCGGTTTGAGTTTTAAGTACGGCCCAATGATCTAGGGGAGGGCCTAATATGATTTATCATTCCTAATGTAATTAGGAATGGTTTTGGTCTTCTAGAACATTCTAGAAGGTTCTTATCATTCTTAATTCAATTAGGATTCTTTAGAGTTTTAATTAGATTAAATAGCATTTTCGACTGAAATTATATTATTTTATCTTCCAGTACGGGAATTTTATCAGAATTTCGAAAACGCGTTAAATTCCGGTTTGGCGTCCAACCACAGGCCTTGGCGCTTGGAACTAGGATTGGCGCCAGACGCCAGCCATTGGCGCCTGGCGCTAGCCACTGGTCCTGGCGCCAATGAGCCAGGGCTGGCGCCAAGGTGGTGTGTGGTCTTCAGACTCTGTTTTGATAAATTATCTTTTTTTGGCTGATTTTCTCTATAAATATCGTATCAAAACTCCGTTTTCATTGACAGATTGTCAACACGAATACACCAACTATCTACATCTATTAATCAATTCTCATCAATTCTCTTCATTCATCATCTTTCGTTCATCAATCATCAATAACATTGATTCTTTAGTATCCTTTTCTATTTTGCTTTTTAATACAAAATTCCGCATTCACAAGATCTTGATACACCTAGCCATATTCGAAGTTGCCTTCGCCCTAGACGTGAAAGGTTTTTAATTTCTGAGGGTTTGGTCCCAAATCTCTCTTTCAATTATTTAATTTAATTGTTTTGATTATTATTTTCCTTGAAGTTACTAACGTGTGTATTTTTTAATTAGAAAGAGGTACGAGGCATCCAAGTAAGTACTTTATTGATTTATTGATTTTATGATGTAGACATCATGTTTATATTGTTATTATGATATTCCTAGTATCATGTCTAGGGTATCTTTAATATCAAGTATGATTAAAAGTATGATGCGTCCTATATTCTCCCTAATATTTATGATTATTATTATTAATTATCATGATTATTTATTATGTTGCTTGACACATATTATATATTGTTATTGCTTGATCACCTTTTATTGCAGGTTAAAGGGAATTGGTATTTGCAATCACGCTTAATAAGATAATTAATAATCTTGTTAGGGCTAATTTGATTATAATTCAAGTGATCACCAATAATAGTTTATTTGTGCATTAAATTCAACCAACATAGATTAAACAGGTTTAGGGTTAATTCTATTGATTGTATGTTAGTCAGAAAGCGCACATGAATACGATCAGAATAAAGTAGAGGCCTATTATTAGGGCAGGTTCAATCTCTTTTAGGTTGGATTTGTACCTTCATCCCCGGACCCTTATTTGGTTCATGACCTTATGGAGTTGGCGATCTCTTGGATCGTTAAGGGGTGTAACCTTCACCTCGTGAACGGTTTACAAGTTCCTTAAAAACTTGTTGGCGACTCTTTTGCTCTATCTTCTTCCCTTTTTGACGCCACCGTATTTTAGTGTATGATCACAGTGGGGTTCGAGCTAGTGGGATTTTTAAGGATTGAAATTATTCCCTACAGTTACCAAGGATAATTAAAAGTTGCACCCTTTACCATTGAGAAAAAAAAAATAATATGTGATTACTAGTGAGAATTTCCCAAAAAGTAATGTTTGATTTATTAAAATGAAAATTGCCAAAAGTAGTCATTCATAGTATTCGCTTTGCCCATTACAATCTTTATTATAATCTTAAAGTACTACTAATTTGTTAATTGACATCCAATTTTACTTTTCGGCCAAAATTTTTTGACCATTTAATTCTTACAACAGTTTAAATAATATAAAAGTATGTATTACAAAGTATGAGCCTTATTAGCTCCTTTATTATAACGAAAAAATATTATAGGAAAATTTGTGAGGAATAACCTCAAAGATAGGCAATTTTGCAAACATTTATCCGTTTTCTTTTTAATTGTGAACAACTACCCCTAATATGTTTAAAGTTTGTCTAACACTACCCATTAATGGATTCCGTTCAATTGAGCTGTTTGTAGGGCCCACACTTACGGTTTACCACCCAATTAACTCTTTTGCCATTTATTTAAAGTCTTATTATTTTTTCCCCCCGAAACTCATCAAACATTCAAAAGTTGAGCAATTATTCACCAAATCAAGTAATGTTTTAAGCTATTGTTGTAACCGTGGCCTATTTAATTGTTCAGGGTTTTTAATTAACTTCAATTAATAATTAGGGATTTAATTTAGGATTTATGGATTCAATTCAGTTTGAGAATTTAAATGTCTAAGGTTTAGGGTTTGAATTGAATTAGGAAAATTGTTTTTTTTTTTTTTTGGGGGGGGGGGGGGGAGGATTTAGGGTTTGAATTCAGTTTTAATTTATAAATAGGAAGAGAAAGACAACGCATTAGAGGAAAGAAAAGGGTTTTTGTTGAAAAGAGGGAAAAAAATTCCTTATCTAAGATTCATTTAGATTAAATAAAAATGGTGAAAGATAAAAGAGAAGAAAAAATGGAGGATAAATTATTGAAAGAGAACAGAGATAATTAAGAAGAGAATAAATAGGGTGACAAAATGTAGGTATGAGCCCTACAAACGACTCAATTGAATAAAATCCGTTAATAAGTAGTGCTATATAAACTTAAGACATCTTAGGGGTAGTTGTTCACAAATTTTTTTTAAAAAAGGATAATTATTCAAAAAACTACATCTTTGGAGTAGTTCTTAACAAAATTTCCTATAGGCACTTCCTTATTTGATCTAGCTGGTTTGAATAATTGTCATTTGCTTGCGAGCATGCGACGAGGAATACACCATTCTATTTATGTATTCTACTTTCTTTTAAACCGAGAATGAATAGGAGGATGACGAACAAATAAATTCTGGCAAGCATATTAACGAGTTATAAAGGACACTAGGTACCTTTAACAATATAAAAGTAAATGGGGAAGGAAAATAAAGCAATTAGGATTAACAACACAAACTGAATTACCTATTCAAGTAATTCGAGATTGATACATGATTAGTGGAGAAACTAGGTTAAAACCCATGCAAATGCACGGTTGTTGAATAATTATGATAATAAATATAATTATATAAAAATTAATGAATCGATTCATTAAGTATTAAAGTGCATGAAATATAATAAAACAATTTAAACATGTGAGAGAAAATATTTATAGTTATAATGTGCAAGTTGATATTTTAGGAAGTTTATTTTAGAATTTATATAAAAAAGTCATAATCTAAATGCAATCTTTATTTTTATATAATAACAATTTTTTTAGAAAGTAATTTTGGCGGAATTTTTTTTAATAATATGTTGCCAAGTGTTCCTTCAGATTCGCTTTTAGTAGTATGTAATTGATATGAGTAAGGTGGCATAACTCTCCTTAAAAAAAGAGGCGACGACGCGTTCACCAAGCTGTGAAGCAAGATACAGAACTGAAAAGGAATCCAGCAGTTGGAGTATTAGTATTGACTATTGAGTATTCTTTCTCACCCTTTATATGTTTCCAGTATTTTCTAGCACGCTAAAGAAAGAGAAAGAGAAAGAGAAAAAACATCAAGTGCTGAAAAATGGTGGGAGAAGTTGACGTCCATAGTTCCAATCTCTTTCCACCCATCATTTTGTTGCTCTTGCTGCTTGCTTCTGCCTCTGCTACAGGTCTACCACTCTACCCTTTTCCCTATTCTTAATTATTCTTAGTGTAATTATTCCTAAATAATTACTTGTTGATTTTACAGAAACCCTTTCAGATCAACTCCACCCTCGCCTTTCTATAGCACGCACTCTTCTTCAAGCTCAGCAAGGTATATTGGTAAATTATTAGAATGATATTCTGGATATATCATATACTTGTATCGATAATGGAGTACGAAAACCCTTGGATGCAGGCTGCCCAATCAATTTTGAGAACTTGAACTACACAATCATAACCAGCAGATGTAAAGGCCCCAAATACCCACCCAACATCTGCTGTGAAGCTTTCAAGGATTTCGCATGCCCTTATACTCATCAACTCAACGACCAAACCAATAACTGCGCCACTACCTTGTTCAGCTACATCAACCTCAACGGCCACTATCCTCCTGGCCTTTTTGCCAATGAGTGTCGTGATAGCAAGCGAGGTCTCGAGTGCAGTCCATCTCAGTCCTCCCCTCATCATGATGCTCCCGCTCCCTCTGCTGCCGCTATGCCAACCATTTTTCACCACTGGATCTATGTTCTCTCTCTTTTATTTTTGTACCACTTATTCATTTCTTGATTCTTTCAACTTTTGCTTCAAATTTCTCGACTTTACTTTTGTGTTAGAGTTATTGAAAAACATGCACTTCTTTGGCAATTTGCAGTTGTCTGTAATCATGCACGCATGTAACCCACTGGTTCATTTATATAAATTTCTTTATCTTACTCTTGCTATACATTTCCAATTCATCCAGATAAGCATACAAAAGCCAATCTTCTTACATAGTACAACCATTTACTTCGTATACTATATACACTTATACTTTTATACACACTAGTATGGAGCAAGTACTTTATTTCGAATTCAGACCACTGAAAAAGTTGAGATCAATGAACCCTGCAACTTTCCGTATGTACAGCCTGGTTGCTGTGAACGATTACAGACTGTCATACTCGAGAAAATATAAGGCATTGTAACTTCCCAACAATTTATCATGCCATCATCATGAACCTAAACGGTTCCTTCGATACTTATACTTCAACTGCCTTTTGGTCATGCACCATGCTCCTGGGAAGGTGCTCAACTACCAAAAAAAAAGTCCATCTGTTATAAGAATCTATGAGATCTGGAGAGCTCAGGTTTAATTTTAATACTAGCACTACAGGTCTACAGTCTTAACAGGAGAAGGAAAAAGGAAAAAAAAAAAACATTCAAAAAGAAATAAAATTCTGGAATGTGTCAAAATACAATGGTAACTTACATTGCTTATCAGCCTGGCACCATGCCAGGCAGAATCAACGCCATGAGGAGGAGGAATTACATTAATTCCATTTGTCAAGTACAGAGGAAGAAGCTCGTGCAATTCTTTCTTTAGCCTTTCTGAAATAAACAAGTTATAGTTAGAAAAAACCAAGTGTATATAAGCATTTACAGAGACACACAAATGCACAATTCACAGTAAAGAAAACTCAAACCAGCTAATCCAGGTAAGCAAGCAGTTCCACCACATAACACCACTGTCTTGAACCAATTGTCATCACCCATCAGTTCTGCAGCATGGCAATGTTCCATACAGAGTGCAACTGCCTGGTGCAGTCCCATTGCACGTCTGCGACATAGCTCAAAGCAGTATTATAAAACAGGAAAAAAAAAATTGGCAGATGAGAAGGACAAACAAATAAAATGAAATTTAGGACCATCTTGAACAGGAAGCGCAAGTAAAAATGCACAATGAACATATATAATCAATAGAGTATATTGTATACTGTATATAAGTTTAAGCTGATAGTTAAAGCCTATGCTTGATTTATATACTCTAGAAATGACAGCCCATTGGGATAGAAGTGTGAATAGCATGGGTCTCACCATTCCCGGCGTTATATATTTCACTAGAAAAAGGGTGGATAAGATTTGACCTGTGACCTTTTTGTCACGCTATCTCTTGATGCCATGTTAGAGGAGCAAATCAACTAAAAACTTAAGCCGATAGTTAAGCCCCATGATTGGTTCAACTTGCCTAGTGTCAAACTACCATCAAAGCATATTTAAAGCACATTTCTACATAGATAGAAGGTTTAATTGTATTTTAGTTTATCCCATGGTTTCAAACCTTGGTTGAATGGGATAATGGGAGTACGGCATGATATTGTGCCTTGGATGATCCACTTCTCAAGGTGAGGCACTCATGAGAACCTTGAGAACCTTGGATTTTCTATGTGACTGAGAATCGTAACAGCCAGGCACAGTACATTTCTCAAGATTGTGTTGCCTAATAGGAATATCCACATATAAAGGTCAATTTTTATGTGTAAATGAATTTATGTTTTGAATTATTGAAACATAAGTATGACTTAGGTAAATGAGAGTTGTAGGTTGGTGACATCTTAATTTTGGTGTTAAAAAAAAAAAAAAAAACCTTGCAATTATGTAGTGTGCATATTTTTTTTAGGATGCCCACCCGGTTCACCGGAGCTTAACTCCGATTACATCCGGATCCGACTCGGGTAGCACACCTGACTTATGGTGGGTGAGTCTCCCAACAAGAGTTTCTGCATACGGCGAGGCTCGAACCCGAGACATCTCTTAAGCGACATCAAGTTGCTTACCACTTGAGCCAACTCTTGTTGGTATGTAGTGTGCATATATCTCAATAATAAGTGCCTGATTCACAATGAGTTTGTTCAATAATTTATTGAAGTGATAATGTACTGGACTAAATGCATATCTGCAGCTGCAAAGGGCCATGTAAATTGATTTGCTTTGATGATGGCAAAGTGCTGCCCTTGTGTGGATACTATTCTAACAAGAACTTGGTGAGTCAATCCGCCTACACATCATGCTTCAAATGCTATATTGGGACGTACTTCATGTATGCTTATCCTATAACAAACAATAGAGCAAGACTACAAATGTGAAATGTCTTGCAACTCTTTAAATTGTTGATAAATCAATTAAAAAAGGATAGCTCCCACATCCATCTACAATTAATATTACACTCACTTTTTGAAGCAATGATGGTGAAGAAACACTTACACTCCAGCAAGACGTGGTTGGAATAAGATCTCTCCTGTTTGAAAACGCTCTTTAGACAGTGCAAAAACACCCTCTCTTGGTACTTTATAAGACCGTAGTGTATCTTTAGAAAGTTCCGCTTCATAATCAAGAGCCACATAACAAAGATTCTGTAAGAGACAACTATCATGAGATCACCAAAAATCTCTTGCAATATAGACAACTCTACAAGAATAATAATGCTACAGTAAGACAGTAACCAATGAGGGGAAAACAAAATCATATTCCAGGATAAGAAACAGACATTCATATATTATGTGACACATACATGGAGGAGCATAAGATCCATGGAAAAGTTTGGCTAAAGAGTCTCTTCACCCCCCCCCCCCTCCCCAAAATTTTTGGAGAGCAAACTATTAACTAATCAACATGCTACAATAGAGACGAACATAAAAAAAAATCCAGAACAAATAGAGCTACAGATTTTTATCAGTGGAGCTCCATAAAACACTATGATAGACCATTTTCTACTATCACTATTCAGCGTGAACACACAACTAATTAAAAAGATTCCTGGATTTTTGCAAGATTACTTTTATCCTTCAGTGAAGCATTTAGACAGAATCTTAGTTTTAAAAGGCGGAAAGTGCACCAAGGCGCAAATGGTCCTTGCAGCCTAGGTGCGAGGCGCAAGGCGAAGGCGCGCGCCTTTTGTATGCAAGGCGCATGCATTTATATATTTATTTAAATTATTTTTTACTTTGATAGTACTTAATACCAATTAAAAAGATTCATAATAAATTAAATAATGATATATTTATAGCTAAGGTACTCTGAATTTGGAAAAATGTCCATCATTCTTCAATTTATAACTTAAATCTTAGTTATTTTCCTTGAGGCGCAAAGGCGCGCCTTACCAAAGGCACTTTGAGGCGCACGCCTTCCATAGGTGACTGAGCCTCGCCTAGCTAAAGCCCATTTCCCAGAGAACCTGGGAGTGAGGCGCGCTTTTTAAAACCAAGGACAGAATTCATCTTTTTTTTTTTATTTTTTTTTTACTACAACAGAATTCATCATTTAGACCTTTAATTCCCATGTTTTCATGGCTTATGGAGAGATTTTTTTTGCTCCTAAAGAGACTTGCACTTTCTAGAAATAAGTGGGATGGGAAGAACAAATTATGATGTATAATACTATAAACATTACCTCCTTAAGTTCACGAACAGTGTACAAAGACTTGAAATAAATGTTCTGCTGCTGCATCTGCTCTCTAAGAAATCCCGTAAGCTTTAATGCCCCCATGCCAACAACTTCAACTCCCACTTTGCGCATTATTTTTCCATGAAGAACTGTAAAAGAAAAAAATCATGGAACTTTGCATTAGCAGAGATGGTTAAGCGATCTAGTTTTACAGAGTAGCTTAATAAAAAAATTAATAAATCACCAAGGATTGGATCCAAGAGAGAAATAATTGAATGGAAGACAGGATATAGCATACAAATCTTGTAGCAAAAAGATAATATGATCCCTGGTAGATTTCAATCAGGATCATGGAATTGTTTACATGACATTATAATGACACTTTGGAGGACCGAGTCCATTATTGTACCACCATTACAAACTACATATTCAACATCAAAGGAAAAAGTAAATTTGGATGGCGAGCAATAAGAAACTATGCTGAATGATGACATGTCAAAATTCAGTAGCAATATACTTTCACATTCTAGTAATATTGCAATAAGGATGAAATTACACATCTCAAAACATATTTTAAATGTTAAATATCTATATAATTATATAAGAGTAAAAACAAGAACCCACATAACTATTTTCTTAGCGAATGTGCATATTTTTTGTACAAAATGTGCATAAATTTTCGTTTCAGGTCAAAATTCAAATTTGCACATTTAGAAAATTATATATGCACATTAATGCTTCTCATCCTTTTCATTTAGAAACTTCTCATTGGATCCCAAGCTTAGATACATGTAGCCAAAAGTACACCTAAGATAAGCTCCCAAGGCTGAACACAGAAGGTAAACAAAGATAATGTCTTGACTCTAAGTTCCTCATGACACAAACACATTGCCCCTAAAAATTGTTCACCATTCACTGCTTATCCTGCGCAAAATCTGAACACCTTTGGAACAGTAGCCAAATGGCCCAAACCTAGCACCATTAATCATGCAACCCACGAATCTCCTCCAACCAAACATACCCCTATAATTTAATAGAAATGCCTTTATATCACTTATGTCCCATAGGCCATTATGAGATCCCAGGCAACAACATTTTCAAAATTTATGTCTCGCAACCTCAATAGTCCCAAAATATCCTCGAGAGCAAAAAAGGTAGCTCTATAAAAGGGGCTCCTCTATTTCACCTAGGGCAGTTGTAGAACTACTATCCTCTATTGTCTTTCCAAATTGAAATTGAACATGAATTGTCACTCGGTGAATTGCTTCTTCTTCATTGGATAGAGATGAATAATGCATCCAGACCGAGTTTGGGGAGTCAAAAAAAAAAAAAAAAGTTACATGGACTTGCTTAAAAAATGAGAAGGGGAAAAAAGTTTTAAGAGCTCATGTATAGGTATTCTACGGATATCTGGCCCACCAACTACCAAGACATAAGAGCTAAAATTTTAGAACACCATGATTGTATTTGTGTCATATGTATAGAGTTTGGATGCTTGTGATTTTATATTCCTTTGGTGCATGTCACTGGTCATCGGTGCAAGACAATAATGAGAGTAGGCTGGGCGATCACAATTGTCAACTTATTTACAGCAACCTGATCACAAGACACATGGTGCTCAAGGTCAAGCCAAGGGGACATACAAATCAGCCAGATGTTAAACCATAATCATGACTTTAGGAGTTTAAGATTCTTAAGCGCAGGTCATGTTACGGTTGGTGCTTTGCTAGAAGAGCTCAAAAGATGCACATCACTGTGTGTTCCTTTTCTTAAACCTGTGCACTAGAAGACTGCACAACTCGATAATAAAAGCAGTATTAAGATATCTTAATTCTTCAAGAATAAAAAAATTCAAAGAGTTCTAAGGAGGGTATACATCTGTAATAGCCTATGTCCAATGAGAATAGCTAGGGAGTTACACTAAATCTTGAAAGCCAGTTCAATCCCATAATACCCAAACGAAAAGGTACAGTATAAACAGCACATATAAACTAGATTACAGTGAGCAATAGCACAGGCATGATGCAACATTAGAAGACAGCATATTATACTTGGCACAACTGATGTTTGATGGAAACCAATGTTAACCACAATTCCTGAAGTTCTCCTTGCAGCATATAATGCTAGAGTAGCCTGCATAAATTAGAAAATATAATCATTTTGTACACTCATAAGTCAAAATAAAAGAGTACTTTCTAAGATAAAATGACAAGTGCCTAGATAATTCCACATATAAACCAGTATAGGAATAAAAAGAAGACAAACATATAGCAGTCAATACAATGCATAAACCCCCTCCTCCCCCCCCCCCCTCTCTTTCTCTCTCCCAGCATGCATTAATGCATAATACCCTGCATGCGCACACATCCATGTACACAAAGAAGAAGCCATATGAGAGGAAGTATAATTCCTAGTGTAAGGAACCCATTGATTTCTTAATCTTCGTATTTCAATTTCTATTTTCCTTCCGCCCCTGTCAAGAGGAATAATGTTATATCTAAGAAAGATTAGATCCTTGTAAGCTGGTTCCATGATTTGGTAAGAAGGAAACAAGCTATATGTGGATAAGACCATATTACCAATTTACCATGAAGTCCTTTGCAAACTTGGAAATTTCCTCTCAAATTTATTAGTGTTAGTGATCCCATTCATCAACAAACATATTTGCATGATCTAATAAAAATTCTGCCTATAAAGTAACAATAAGGAACAATGAATTTTTTTTTAAAAAAAAAAAAAGAAAAGAAAAAGAAAAAAAAAAGAGCTTACCTGATTTATTGCACAAACAGAAGGCACATTCATATCAAAAAGTGCTGAATATATTGCTCCTTTAAGTTGCCTTCTTGATGCTTTAGCAGATTCTGTGTCTGCATATGACAGGAAAATATAGTCAGAAAGGTTAATAGGAATTAATGAATTTAGTTATTTTTTTTCATTATTCTTATAGACTAAAAAGACTGTTTGTATAAACCATTTTACCTTTATGTAGCAATTAATTATTTTAGTCGTGTAATTCTACAAAAGCTATCTCATTCAAAGCTCTGGAGAATATCATTACAGCTTTACAGGAACCAATGTAATGTCTAAAATTGTTTGTTATTTGTACTACTACAAGCAGATTAAAGGAGATTCTGAAACTTAGCAGACAAGAAATGAAATGAATTACCATCATAATGACAGATAGGGATTGAAACAACAATGGGTTGAGCAGTAGATTTTACTTGCATCCTGTTATGTAACAAAGAAACAAACAAAAAAAAAAAAAAAAAAAAAAAAGCCATCCTACTGTAAGCATTTAAGCATAAAAGAATAAAGACAGGGGAAGTTGTGCAGTGTGAGATTCTGAGATAGTATATGTGCAAAAACAGATGGTGAAAGAAGAGAAGAACCTGCTATAAATGGTGGCATAAAAATGACGAAGTCGAGAGTACATTGGGGCTTCTATATTTCCAAATTCCTGCATAGAAATGGAAATTAGTTATTTAGTTGAGCAATAAAAAAGAGAGAGAAGGGGGGAGGAAGGATGATGACCAAGAAGGTGGCAGATCTCCCAGATGGCCGCGGATACTTGCTCCAACCGAACTTGCAGTAGCCAGAGCCACCTGAAATCGAATATACATCATAAATTGATTTTTGTGAACTCAAAGGGAGAGGGTTACTATAGTTAGCCATACCGTCAACAATAACAGCACCGGGCACTTTAGCCCGCTGCCCATAGAGATGCATCAGAGAGACAGGAACAGAGACAGACAGCTGGCGCGGCAAATGAGTTTCAGAGAAGAAAATGGAGTCCAAATCCCATAAATTATTAGGGTTTGTTTGGAAGAAATTTATCCAAAGACGATTGTCAGAAATCACAATTCGTCTCCAGCTTCTGCAAACCACACAAAGCTTGCCGGCATCTTCTGGCCCTAATTTTCTCAGGATTATTCCGAGCACGTCTTCGGGTAAAACATCCAAGCTGCCTATGCCTGTTGTTACTCTTGTTGCTGAATTTCGATTGCTGCTGCTATTACCAGGCACTATTGATTCCCACACCTTTCTCAGCAACATATCTGATGACAATTCTACTCACCATTTTTTAACACTACTATACTCATTTTTGTGGAGGGATGATGATGATGATGATGATGTGGATGCAGCTCTATCAGAATTTTTTATTTATTACGACTACTAACTCCGTTTTATATTATTTACAACGATTTGACATCAAGCAGAGAGGAAAAATAACTGATCGTTGTAAATAATATAGAACGAAGGTAGTACTAGTATTTACCAACAACTCCATCAACCTCCTCTCTCTTTCTTGGGGTTTCTAACTCTCTATACTATTCCATCATTATTCCAAACCATGTTAAGCAATCTTCAATGGTAATTTCCCCATTCTTAATCCTTATTATCATAATCTCGAGTTAAGTAAAAATTTAGGGTCTAATCTTTCAAACTTTTGGACCTCCCACTTTTTTTTTCCTAGATCCAAACTCAATTTGGTCAGTTAAGAACCAAAATGACCCAAAATCTTTAAACCGAATATTTTTTCAACTCGAAAAATAGAGAAAAAAAAATTTATAGGTGTAGAGTGAACCCCATAACGATGATTGATAAACAACATAACCCCGTTAATAGCAACATAGTGGCAAGGTCCCCTTAGAGCATCTCCAATGGTTTAATTATAAGGACTTGCTTGTAATTTAAATAAAGTTCCTAGCTACATGCTTACCATTGGAAAACAAAAAAATTGAGCAACATACAAGCAATTGTAGCCCAACCAAGCTACATGCTTGATTGAAAAAGAGACAAATACCCACTCATATTGTAACATGTGTATAATTATCTATTATTTTTTAAAATTTTATTTTTTGCAAACTACAATATGTTGTGACTTACCATTGAAACAATTTGTTGCTTAAAAAGTGTTCTAGCTTAGAAATTGATGTGAAAAAGCAAACTACAATATGTTGTGGCTTACCATTAAAAAGTGTTGTAGCATATCATTCAAATACAGTTGAGCTTATTTGGCGAAAAAAGCCTGAAAAATTCTTGTTAAAAAACTATGTTTCCACTAGGTACAAAAGGCCATAACTTTGCCTTGGGTATATCTTGGTTATCTATGTTCTTGCAATGAAAATACTATCTAGCCTTCTGTACATCCCTCCCACTTGATCAGAACACGTTATTCAAATTACATTCAGGAAACAAAAATATACAAGAAATCATACCAAAGTCACGTATGTGTGACCATATACTACATATACAAGGGCACCCTCACCCCCCCCCCCCCCCCCTCTCTCTCTCTCTCCTCCCTCTCCATCACCGAAAGCATGCACACCTAATGGGTGCAGACAAAGATAAATGAGCCTCAAATTAAGCAATCCAAATACGAATATTTCCTACGACGACTATACACTAACAGGCTTCCATATGTGCGATCCCACACTCCAATGAAAAGAGACTCGGTGTCTGGACTAAATGAAATGCCAGATATTTCACCAAAGAAATCAACTTCTTGCTCCTCTTCATAATTATTCTTCACGTCAAATACATGTACAAAATCTGCCGGCTCTGCCATAGCCATGAAGCAGCCATCTGATGAGTAGCGGATGGACCGGATAGCTCCCAGATTGCCCCTGAGAACAGACACAGATTTTGACAAGTTTCGGACATCCCAAATTCGGCAGGTCTTATCCTGGTTTCCGGTAGCAAAAGTGACACTGTCAGGGTTCCATGCTGATGCAAACGAGTAATCCAAGTGTCCAGTCAAAAGTGTAATAGTCTGCAAAGATCAAAATCATTCATCAATTACTTGCTTCTTGAGAAAATAATGAACATCTACAAAATGCTAACCAGCACTTTCCACACATACCTTTCCATTTCTGGAATCAACCAAAATGCCCTCAGGATTGTCTCCAACAATCACAAGCATTTTACAGTCAGGGCTCAAGGACGTATGCTGCAAAGTAAAACTGACGGGTAAATGGAAGGAAGTCAAGGAACTACCCACAAGATGAACTTATTCATGCATAAATAGGATCAAAGATCCTATGTGGATGTTTTATTGGTAAGTTCTCATAAGCTCTACTACTTAAATTTGGTAATAAAAAACTTCATATTATGAATAAAACATGAATCAAATAAGAAACAGTAAAACATAATTAAAAATAAAAAATAATAATAATTAAAAATAAATAAATAAATATATACAACAATCCACAAGTCAAAAGGTCAGAAATGAGCCTTGCACAAGTAGGTTACGATTAAACAAACAAGGAACTATGGCTTTCCCCCCATATAGATACAAATATACCATGCTTCATTGTTCAGTGACCGTGTCCATGCCCAGATATTTTTTTGCTGTCCGCCTGGACAAGCACACTACTTCATGTTTGCACCATTAATCTCTCCAACTAGACTTGGCAATCCTTGTAATGGACCGGGTTTAGCTAACTGATTTATACTTAGTTTAATGGAAGAAGGACTGATTCTCTTATAATTAATCGAAGGATTACAATTGATAGATAGTGTAGTAACTTGAGGTTACAAATCTCCAAGCAACTTGAGGTTGCAACTCTTTTGTGTTTGCCTTACAATTTTCTGGATACCCCTTCCCTCCATACTACTCCCATACTTAACTAGAATGGCCAGGCTGACCTTAAGGATTACATGTGATACATAGCTAAAGTAGAAAAACATAAATAGAGCACAAAGAAACTAGTTGCCCTCCTTTCCTTCTCAATTTCTTAATTACTTTTGTCATCTTCTAAATTGGAGTTGTTAAGGCATGGAATTGTTCTCTGTTGCAGCCCTTGGTTGTTGTTGTTCTTGATTGACTTTCCTCCTCCTTGCATAGCCCTTATCGGAGGTTGACCCGCATTGAGACTTGGGATACCAACTGTCACGGTCCGGGAGTTTGGACCCCGAAACGTGCGGCGCGCTCTAGCCTTTTGGCGGCAAGAACGCTAGTCTTGAGCGGAAGAGGGGCTTGTGAGCACAAAGCAACACAAGCGGGCAATAGAATCTCAGGAGCACTCACGTCTATCTGGGCGACGGAGTGCGGGTGGTCGGGGCTTGTGACGGCCGATACTTCAAAGCGGGCAAAAGCGGGTCCGAACCACGAGTCCTTAGCGCATCAAGTTGGGTTGGAGGGGAGCTAATATGCAAGTAAGACACAATATCTATAAAGGTCTAACAACAAACAAGCATAAAAGCAAGGCAACACTTGGTACTTGGGTCCGTGACAATACCCCGCCCCAAAAGACTCACCTTGTCCTCAAGGTGGAAAAAGTCTGGGAATCGCTGATTCAGGGCTTCGCCGTCTTTCCAAGTGGCTTCAAAAATCGGCAGCCCCTTCTACTTGACCAAGACTTCCAAACCACCTCCATGATTGGCGGTTGTTCTCTTGACCTCCATGATTGCTTCTGGCTCAACCACCAATTCGAACTCTTCGTTAAACTGCTCCGGTATATTAGGACTAACCAAGGCATCCCTCACCGCGCGTTTCAATTGAGAGATGTGAAACACGGGGTGAATTTTGCACGTTAGTGGCAGGTCCAATTTATACGCCACCCAGCCGACCCGTTGAACCATCACACATGGCCCATAGTATCTCGCTGCTAATTTCTGAAATGGGCATTTCGCCAATGATTTCTGGCGGTAGGGATGGCAATCTAGTCCGGATCCGACCCTACTCCGCCTCGATCCGAGGAAAAATATCTGCTCCGAGTCCGAGAAAAAAGTAATCCGAGTTCGACTCCGTTAAAATAATCCGACTCCGAGTCGGAGGAAGGTCGGAGTCAGATCCTACAAAAAATCCGAGAAAAAATCCGACTCCGACAAATGTCCGACGTTAACGGATTATCCGACTCCGACTCCAATAGATAGTGGATTTTTGTATGGGTCATGGTGGCATTGGGTGTGAGTTGTAAAGGCCCAAATAGCCCAACATCTCAAAGTATATTGAATAATGAAAAAAAAAACTCGGAGTCGGGTCGGATCGGAGTCGGAGGTCGGATATTGAAGTCAAAGTCGGAGTCGGATGTCGGATTTAACCTCCGAATTTAGCATAATCCGCTCCGAGTCCGGCCCATTGCCATCCCTATTTGGCGGTATGGGCGAAGCTTCAAATAAATTGAATTCCCCACCTCGAATTCACCATCAGTCCTCTTCCTGCAAATTCCTTCATCACCAGCTGAGCTTGAATCAAATTTACTCGTAACTCATCCAGCCCAAAGTCACGTTCTCGCAACCCTTCCTCCAAGCTGTTGACCGGAGTTTGTCCTGAGCCAAGCCGCCACAACTTTGGTGGTTCACTGCCATAGACCACCTTGAAGGGGGTCATCTTGGTCGACGTATGTGGTGATGTGTTGTAGGAATACTCTTCCCTAGCTAGCCACTTTATAAACTTCGAGCCCCTTGTTTACTATCTCAGTCTGCCCATCAGATTGTGGGTGATAAGCAGTACTCCGTTTTAGTTGCGTGCCTTGGAATCGAAAAAGCTCTTTCCTAAATATACTCATGAACACACGATCGCGGTCGGAGACAATCGAAGAAGGAAACCCATGGAGGCGCACTACCTCCTTGACAAAATAATCCGCCACCTTTAAAGCATTAAAGGGGTGCTTGAGGCCGATAAAATGGCTATATTTGGACAATCAATCCACCAGTACCAACACCGAGTCGATACCCTTGGATAGAGGTAAACCTTCCACAAAGTCCATTGAAATGTCATCCCAAATCGCCGTCGTAATCAGGAGCAATTGGAGGAGACCAAGGGGGTATCGTTGGGCCACCTTGCTGCGTTGACACACCTCACACTTGCGCACATACTCTCCGATCTCCATCCTCATTCCCTGCCTTTTTGTTTGGAGATTTTCTAGAATTTATTTGAAAGCGAGAATTTCTTTCTTTATTTGTTTACTGTAACTACTTGAGCCGGGCGAGGGGAAACTTTCACGTCCGGCTTTGAAGGGGGGCGATCTTATAGGATAGGATCCTATCCCATTTTTTCATTTGCTAGGCCTATAGCGAAAAAACCTACTTTTTTACGATTACGCGGTTTATTCGAATATGAAATCCAATCTTGGAAATACAACATCCCCCTTTTTTTTACTACCCAAGGTTTTGATACATTTCGAAATAGAGAAATATCTAC